TGAGATTAAAGGATCAGCAAAGAAAAAGCAGAAAACTGGAGCCACACCAGGCAAATTTAAGAAAGCCAAATAGACTGAATGTATCCATAAATTAATGAGATGTTATTGTGATGAGTGATGTTTGGAGTTAAGACAAAAGGAAACTGCTACTGTTACTTTTTTTTTTTTTTGTAACTTTCTGTTGTATCACCTAACGAAACCTGAGCTAGCTGTATTTTAATGAGTGTTGGACATTTTTATTTCAAGTGTTGGAAATAAAAAAATTAAAAAAAAGTTTTTTTTTGTAAAGATCCTCATTTGTTGCCCTTTAACAGTACTGTGCAAAAGTCTGAAACTTCCCCTCTTATCTTTATATTTTGCTACCAATGAGCTAGCCAATAGTTCTCCAGACTTCCCTAATGTCTTGCAAAGTTTGGTTTTTTTTTTTTGTCCTCTCACTTTCAGTCTACTCCTTGCATCCAACCATCAGGCAACATGACAAACAACTAATTTCAAACTTTTCAACAAGGTGATTTTCAAAAAACTGTTATTCTATGGCCATGATACAAACAGCTATTAGGTGAAAATCTACTTTGATGAGTCTAATATTTAGAATACATTTTGGTTTATAGATAACATAAGATAAACCTTTATTAGTTCCAAAAGTGGGAAATCTACTTGGTCATGGCAGAAAGTGGACAGTATAAAGTTAAGAGCAGCAAAAATTAAGAAAAAAAACAAAAAATCAAATCAATTTAAATGAAATTTAAAAAAAAATACTTTGTCACAGGCAGTGGAAAATAAAATGTTCAAATGTACAGTCTAAAGAATGTACCATGTAAAATGGAATATAAATATGGACATCTGTATTTTAAGAATATAAATGTATGTATGGAAACTTAAAGTAAGACTAAATGTAGACTTGGCCAAGTTGTATACATGTACACAGCGAGCGTGTGTGTGTGTGTGTATATATATACACAGAGTGGATGTGTAAATAAAACGAGAACATTGTAGACACACACACACACACACACACACACACACACACACACACACACACACACACACACACACACATTCTGACCAAGCAGTAATAGCTTCACCCAAAAATTGCATGGCATCAGAAAAATTGCACTCAGTAATATTGCACATAAGAGAGACTAAGCAAAGGCATATTGTATTGGAATTGTGTTTGTCCGTGTGTGTGGTCATCTGCAAAGTCTTTGTTGTGGAGTCTGACAGCAGTTAGAAGGAAAGTCCTGTGGCATCGCTCTGTCCCACATCGTGGGTGCTGCAGCCTGCCCCTGAAGGAGCTGCTCAGTGCCTTCAGAGTCTCCTGCATGGAGTGGAAGATGTTGTTGTCATGGAGAAATATATTCCATGATTTCTTTTTTTAACTTAAATTGCTTCAATTGGCCTCTCTGAAGTTCAACATAACTGTGGGATCAATTGGACAGAGAACAAAAACAAAAGGCAGCCAACATCCAAAGAAGAGCTTCAAATGTGCTTGAAGAAGCCTGGAGAACTATTCCTAAAGACTACTTAAAGAAATGTCAGGAAAGCTGCTGTACTGATGGGCCGATTGATCCAAATATCAATATTGCACTGCTATGTTTAGTTGTGCTGCAGTTATGTGACTCGGAGACACTGAGAAGAGCTGTAAAGCTTTGTTTTATTGGAAATGAAAAAACATTCCTCAAACATGAACAATTTCTGAACTTCTTAATAATAATACTGATCCCCATGGGGAAATTACTCCTCTGCATTTGACCCATTCACTCAGTGAAGCAGTGGGCAGCCACTAAGCAGGCGCACCAGGGAGCAGTGTGTAGGGACGGTACCTTGCTCAGGGATACCTCAGGGTTGTCATGTGAGGGCTGTGTGCAGGCAGGAATGGTGGACCCAAAGTGCAGACACTCGGAGGCAAAACGTGAACTCGAAACAGCTTTAATGCTGAACTAAAAGTTACAAAACTGAGAATCCAAAAATAAACTCAGGCAGACAGACAGAACACACAGCACAGACACAGAGAAACACAGGGCTTAAATACACAGAGGGAGCAATCAGGGAATGGGTAACAGGAGGGAAACACAGCTGGGGCAAATCAGCAAAACCAGATACATTAACATGGACCTTCAAAGTAAAACAGGAAACACAACACAGAGGCGCAGACTTGACACAGGGATACAGCGACTATAGAACAGAACAGAACACCAGAACACTAACAAAACCCACACAGGAAACCTAAACTAAGATTAAACCTATAACCCATAAGGCAAAGCTAGAATAATGAAATGAACAAAATCAAAGAACCAATAAAAGACAAAACACTGGGTCAACGGCCCAGACACCCTAACATGGGTAGCCGTTCAGTGGATTCTAACCCCCGACCTTCCGATTATGGGGCGACCACTCTACCCTACTGCGCTATCCCTGCTTTTTGTGTTGCTTGGCTGGTCAATTTATGTTATATAACACTTTAAAACCACTGCAGCCGTCCCAAAGTGCATATTTACATTCCAGGACTCTTAAAAAAGCAAGAAAGGTTAGTTTTATTGTGAAATATTATGTAGTTCTCAGTGATTTAGTGGTGATTAAAATGTGTCCAGAATTTGGCAAATTGATGACGATTTATTTCAGAAATCATGACACACATAAGATGTCTTTATAAGTTAAAAGTAATGGTATTGGCAATACTGGACCTCTGCTTGGTATCAGATCAATATTGAAATTTGCAGTATTACACAATCCTAAGTTCAGGATTAACAGTGATCATAACAAATATTGACTTTCAAGCTCCTTAGAATTGTACAAAGTCTGTTTTTGCCTTATACTGTATACTCTATTTCTATGCATATATGCATAAAGCCTTGCTTCATGCCTACAGCTGAAATACTTATCATGTGTAAAAACTATACATCAGGGCATCCACACCATGCTGAGTGCAATTTCTCTGCAGGGCATTTGGGTTCCTGCTCTAAATAGAAAAGGGTTGATTGCACTTGCACACACATGTGTTGACAGGAAATCTTATATATTTATATATTAGGTTAAAGAATGCGTAAATTCACATAAAACAAACAGAATGTTAAAAGGAGAACAACATTACAGCAAGAAACACACAATGCGTGTGCTGCAAGTTCCTCCTGAGAATCCCACAGTCATGGCATGACAACTAAAATGTGTGTCAAACAGTACCACTTCCTTTGTGCTTAACCCTGCAGGGTTTAATGGTTTGTTTGAGCTTGATGAAATGGCAGATAAGAAAAAGTGAGATTTCATTTTGTGGCCATCTGAGCCACAGTGAGATGAAGCTTGTATACTACACTGCCAATATGTCGTTTCATGCAGCAGATTCAATTTTACAGTTAATGAAGTTTTATCATCTTAAATATTATGGACAAAATTTCATGGCTTGTTATTGCGGTGAAAAAAGAAAACCCTGCAAACACGACTGACTTTTTTGACACACAGACAAGTAAACATTTGATCATCTTCAAAACAATACTAATTAATAAGGTGGTACACATAGAAAAATGCTTAAAAGAAAATATGATTTCAAAAACATTTATTCAATAAATCTATAAAAAGCTGCAATGCTGTGAAGAAAAGTGTACCCATGATGTCAGAAGCTCTCATTTCCTTAGCAGTAATAAGTGTTGCACAAGTTCCCAACAGTCTTTGACATCAGCTTCCTTAAATTTATAACTACCGTCTTACACAGGAACTGATTGTGAACTCAAAGTTAAGTCCAAGGCTGCAGCCTGTACACTGCCTGAGCAGCATAACTACAGCAACAACACAATTTGCACCCACAGCTGCTGTTCAAGACACACATGTGTTATTCTTGACTCTAAACTTTCCTTTGACAGACAAATCTGTTCTGTTGTTGAAGATAGCTAAAGATAGAGAAAAGTCCAAAACTTTATTGCATCTGGATAACTGTAACTCCCAAGTCTCCTCCAATCTCTTTTGACATCGTTGGAGATAGTTTGAAATTCAGCAGCAACACTGTCAATTGACTCCAAAAAAATATAAATACCATTCCAGCCCTGGCCTCACTGCTCTCCATTTTAGAAGTCAGTTTAAGATTGTATTTAGTGTTTCTAAGGCTCTTGATAGTCAGGACCCATCTGCATAGCACCAGTCTCATTCATTTGCATTCTTTACATGTCCTGGGGTCACGCCTCAAACTAAAAGATATCAGAGCTTATGCAGTCACTGCTCCACATTTGTGGGATCAGCTGCAAGTTGATTTTGAAGTCTAGGCACAGAAATCCACCTTTATTCTCCAGCCCACAGAGAAAGGGCATGTGTGTATTAGTATCCTAGATTCCTACAGTTTTAAAAAATAATTTGGTGTTGTTGCTCCAAACAAGGCCTCACCATTTATTTTTACACAGACTTTCATAATGAGACACTAAAAAACATTCTTTAATGAGATGAAATGGATCTTCATCTCAGGGCATGCGTGATGTAGACTGACCAATCAGGCTAACATGTAGCTGCAAAAACTGTGCATCTTTGGAACTGATTTTAAAGAAGAAACATAAATAAATGACTAAAAACACGAGTTGACATATTGCAAGATATTTCTAGCACTTGTAGCTGTGCTCTTATCAGAACAACGCAGAAACTGACTGTGGTGACACAGTGACTGTATGACAAACAATGAAAACCACGAGGACAGGAAGATGAAATTGTCTGGTTAGCTAATAATGCACTGGTTGCTTATGTTGGTGTGCAGCTTAAACAAAGTTTTTTTTTTTTAATGTATGTATTGTGCCCTACATAAAGAAGGCACAGCTTATAAGACTGCTTTGTGATTTTTTGATTGCTTTAATGCAGAATTACATTCTTTCAGGTAATCATACTGAGTCCCAAAATGGGTTTTTATTTTACAAAGGGAAATTCGTTCTTTCATTATTTCCCTTTGGCAGCTGAAATCCCAAAGTTGCTACACATTTGCAGAAATATTACAAGACCTTATTGTTTCTCTTTTTGATAGGTGGAGTGTGTATAAGTGCGTGTATGATACTTTTACTTCTTATCATTTTAAGCCAAAAAAGAGATCCTTGTTGGTTTGACTTTCAGGGTAAGTAGATTTTACACATTATCATATTATATGTGACAATGATATTCATCCTGTGGATAAATATAAATGCCTGAATATATCACTATGTATAAAATATGTAAATCTAGGAATTTGTCGACCTGTTGACTGAGTTGTGTTTGCAACGTCAGATGATGAGTGTCATGGCAGCACTGTGTGTGAACATGTTGAGAACCAACATGTTACTGAGTATCCTCATTCTTTCAGGTGAGTTGTTTTTATTTCAGAGACATTACTCCAACATTTGAACATCTGCATGCATGCTAATATTTTCCACATTATTTTAATCTAGACACTAAATTCCTAATTTCACAGGCGCTCTGGCTGCTTGTCCTGAGGATTCAGCTTTACTCGTCACTACACCAGAGCAGATGGAAGCACTGAGTGGATCTTGTCTCCAAATCCCATGTAACTTTAGAGCTAAACCAGAAAAGGCTTTTAATGGGAGAAGAGCAGTTGCTGGAGTGTGGATTAAAAGTGACAGTAGACTTTTAATAGATCCAAACAATGTGATCTTCAACAGTAGTGGAGCAGTTAGCATCTATCCAATGAGAATTACTGGGAACCTGAGTCAGAGAGACTGCACCACTCTGTTTTCTGATTTATCCACCAAGTACACAGACACATACTTCTTCAGAGTAGAGAGTGAACCATTCAAGGCGACAGCTTACTGTGATCATCTTCAAATTACAGTTAGAGGTAAGATAGTTTATAATAAATAACAAATTATATTATTTATATTGTTATAGAAAACTTTAAATCATCATCATAAATCACAGGGCTGAAAGTTAGAGTAGAGAGAGGGAAAATGCTGTGCTGGAGTCATAACCAAGAAAAGAACTAGATATAAATGTGGAAATTCAGAACATATGTCTATTTATTTAGATGACACCACCTCGACTTCACAAAGAGTGTTTGTGTTTGTTGTACCCTGTCCCAATGTGCATGATTGGCTGGAAAGAAATATGATCCACATTTTACAGCCCTAAAATGAGCCCAGAAATGTTATAATCATCAAATCTCAGTTGTAGAAAAGAGGTTGCAGTTTAAAAGTAACAACTGTGGTGGTGTGACTGTATTCCAGCGTCAACAACTGACAGCAGAAATGTACTCATGTGTTTCAGCACAGAACTTTCTCCAGAGCATGTGAGGTGCAATAATGAAGCTCGATTATATATTTAAGAGTAGATTTAATATGAAATGCAAAACTCTGTCATCTGGGACCAATCGGATTACTTTAGTGTGCCTAAATTGTTTTCACAGGGACTGAGCACAAGTACTTATTTGCTTCAATTCTAGGCGTATAAGATGTATCAATGCAGATGGCGATCCTCATTGATAGGTTTGTATTTTCAAAAAATCCACAGGAAAATGAAGGTGGTTTGAGTACTTGAGTAAAACGTAGTTTTTGTCAGCACAATAACATCATCACTGCTGAAGATCCAATCACAAAGATTTACAGGGTGAGTTCAAAGAGTGGCGTGAACTGAACCACCATCACTGAGTAGCTTTAAAGTATTTTTCCTCAAATTTATCAGAATTGGTTTATTTTTCCATTGAGCACAATGCTATTTTTTGAGACATTATTGTTCCCAAGTATGTATTATTATTAAATAATGTAAAGAGGTGTAATGATTACACCTCTATGCCAATGAGTCCTCAAAGCGCAAAGCTTAAAAACTACACACTTGTAAGTACACAACTGTATTTGAATAGTTATCAGCCTTGTGTACTAAAATCCAAATAATACCTGTATTAATTTGATGTGTCTGTTGTGAAACCACAGATTCTCCTTGGAGGCCCAATATTACAATCTCAGGTGATCTGAAGGAGAAGGAGTCTGTCACTATAACCTGCTCAGCTCTCACTCCCTGTCCACACTCCCCTCCTCAACTCACCTGGAATCTCCAACAAGACTCTCACAACAAAACAGAGAAAAACACAGATGGAAGCTTTACAACTAAAATCCAGCAGAACATCACTCTGTCAGACACACATGATGGAAAGAAGATCAGCTGCTCTGCCAGATATCCTGTGAACCAAGGAAAAGACACCAAGACAGCAGAGACAGAAGAAACTCTCAATGTTTCATGTAAGACATGAAGGCCTTATCTTTTAGAGAAAACCTTTATAAAGAGCCTCTTCTCTCTTTGTGCACCTTTATTCACTCCAAAATCTCTTCCAGACCCTCCCAGGCTGATCAGTCCCACTGGTCCTGTATCAGTGGGCAGCATGGTGACTCTAACGTGTTCCTGCCAGGCAAACCCTCCTGTTGACAGCTATGTCTGGTTCATGACCAGTGGTGATAAACTGGAGATGATCAAAGCTGACACAAAGGTTTACAGCTTTGAGGTGACCAAACTCGATCGAGACAAATTGTTTTACTGCAGCTGCGGGAATCATCTGGGCATCCAGATATCAGCAGGCAGTCAGCTGCTGTTTGAAGGTAAACACAGGAATTGCATTTGTGAGGAGTCATTTTTCATCAAGAAGTTGACTGTGCTGTCGCATTGCAGGTGATGAACACTGGGGGAAAATGACTGTAATGAAGACTGTGGGAATCATAATACTTGTCAGCACACTGGTCATCTTTGAGTGGTGAGGCATTTCAAATGTATTTACATGAGTTACAGCATTAATTATGATGTAACCAAAATCAATTGAGAAGCTTTCCTCCTTTCTAACTGGTTTCCACCTTTTTCTTTCAGCTGGTTTAGATCGAGACGTCCCAACAAACCAGAGGCAGAAAGATAAGCAGAGCTTATAGTCTAACAACTAAAGTGTCTGCAAGTCTCATGAGGAAGTATAACCTAAGGAAGTAAAAACTTAAAACATCCCTGCATTTACTGCCACGGTTAGCAAGAAACGAAAGCTTGTACAAGTTTCTAAAATTCTCTGTTGTTTTAATGGTAGTACAGAAGAAAGGTGTAAATACTAGTGTCCTCACCAAATGTAGAGCACACAGCATACCGAGCAGCCACATGATAGAAAGGCAGTTGTTGCTGGTTTTGAAAAGTGCCACAGTGCAGCATTTAAAAGCTAAAGAAATATATATTACCCAATACTGGGTGGCAGAATCCTAATTCCCAAAAAAAGCATATCACTGATGTGTAAATGCACTTGTTTTTTCTACCATCATGATCAGTTTGATTCATCCACAAAACCACAGAATACACTTTAAGAGTTTCATGTAACACTTGAAACTCTTAAAGACAAATTCATATAATAAACAAAAGCACTGATGAAAACAACTGATCTAGCCAATTATATATATTTAGAAAAAGATTCATTACTATAGCTTTAACAATAGCAACAGAGAAACATTATCACCTTCATAGTACCAATGATGAATTAAGTAAATTCCGGACATTAGCAAACTTATGGATAAAGACTGTGACCTGGATGATTTTGGTTGTCGTGTGTTTGTTCTGCTTTGTGTTTGTCCATGTCATCTTTCAAAAATAAAAACAATCTTTATTGATTTCATGATTTTCGACTGATTGCTGAAACCTTTTTTTCCTCTTTAAAGGTCCACTTTGTGAGTGAACTGGATGCATGTGTTTCACAACATGTAGTTTTAAAGAGAGGAAACTGGAGTAGGGATGGGTATCGTTTAGGTTTTATCGGATACCGGTGCCAAACCGGTACTTTTGAAACGGTGCAGGTGCTTAAACGGTGCTCAAACTGGTGCTTAAAGAATAGAAAACACAAACTTTGTCCTAAAACCTCTCATGTTTAGCTGTTTTTTTTGTAAAAATATAACAATGTTAGCCTTTTCTGCAGCTATGGGGCATATATGGTATCACTCTTGGCTGGAAGCAGTGCTTAAACAATGGAAAGAAAAACACAAACTTTGTCCAAAAACCTAGTTGCTAGGTGCTAGTTCATCTTACGTGCATTAATGTAATAACGTGGTTAGCCTACTCAACGTAAATTACGCACGAACAACATTAAGCCACTCACTCAGAGAAGAATGGCTGCTGCTGCCATCATCATCCGTCATCATTTCTGCTACACTGGCAGGGCTAGGGGCCAGGACTCTCCTCTTCGGGTTTTTGGGGGATGTTGCTCCAGGTCAGATAACAGGCAACCCACCAGCACTCGGTTTGCGCAGTGGCGTGTCTAGAAAATTTTTGTTGGGGGGGGCCAGGTAGGGGCACAGATTTGGAAAAGGGTGGCAGATATAATTGGCAGATGATGTTAAAAAAAAATTCTACCAACTGTTAGTATTTTTACTGACATATAATGCATATATGTTTTGGGCAAAAACATTTTTGAATATTAAAATACGAACATTTCTAACATACAATTGGCAAATTAGCCAATGCCAATGCAAAACTTTATCTGCCTATTAAAAAAAGAAGATAATCTTCTCACAAACTGGTGTTTGATTTTGAAACAGGAAAAAAGTGGGGAAACAAATGAAAAGACTAACATTTGAATGAAACCTGAAAGCAAGTAAATACTTTCTATGCTGCCTTATGATAAACTTTGGTAATATTGATGTATAAAGAACAACACTCGCTGATGATGAAATACAGTCAGCTGGCATGGTGACACTGCCAGTATTAACCTGCAGGGCTGGACTGGGACAAAAAAAATCGGCCCGGGCATTTTGACTAGAGACCGGCCCACCAGGTATTAAAGCCATAAAGCTTTTGAATGAAAACAAACGCTGTTGTGACAGTGATGCACACTGTCTTGTTGGTATATGTATGATTTCTATGCATTTTAAGTCAGATAAAAACTTTGTTCGCAAGATTCAGATAATTATTTAATAAAAGCTAAATATTTTAAATGAGAATAAGAAAGAAAACTATTTCTTTGTGCCCCCCTCTCCCAGAGTAAATCCAGCTTTGTGTCTTTTTCCATTCTAGCTAAAGTACGGGACAAACTGCGTCCCTTCTCAGCTCAACACGAAACAGGTAATATTTTCTCTGAATGAGGGACCATTAAATTTTTTAAGGAGCCGTTGGCAACTCTACTAACTAACCTTATGAATAAAATAAAGTTCACCATCCCAGCTATAAATAAACTCCGTCATGCTAGCTAGTACACAGTACGAGTTATTGTAACTGACGGTAAAAAGTCAGCACAACGAAAATAAACTCCACCTAAACCTGGTTTATATCTGACCCAGATAGACTGCAGGACATAAGTTCTCACCTGTAGTTCAGTTCACCTGACACTCGGACCGGCGGCCACCTCGGGTCTCTCCTCCTCCTGCCTCCCCTTTCTCTCATCCACCTGCTGGCCTTTGTGGAAGCTCCGCCATAGCCACCACCAAACAACTGAGTTATTTTTACACATCTGCCAGCTTCTGGCCAATCCACCACCTCTCATTGTTCATGCCGTTACAAAAAAAAAAAAAAGTCATCAGCCCACTGGGCAAATGCTTGGGATGTAGGATTTGATGTGCGATACCACTGATTTCCTTTCCGATCTGATACCAAGTAAAATTCAGGGTGTTATCGACGATACTGATCTGATACCGATACTTTGTACAATAACGTATTTTATTTATTGTATCTTTTATTGTAGCTTCATCATGATTACAGGACATGAGATTACTTATTCTTATCACTTAATAATGCAGAATTCATCATATAGAAATAAAATGTTGCCTGCCTGCAGCACTAAAGGACTCCATGAGAGACGTCTATCTCCCCCTAGCAGCACCTGTCCCTGTCCACTCCTCCTCTTCAGTTCCCCCTTAACATACGCTCGTTATATTCTGTGATATGATTTACTCTGAAGTGTTTGACGAGGTTAGTGTTGTTGCCACAACACCTCACTTTTTAACCACATGTATCGCAAACCACATCTCGGCTGTTTGTGGAGGTAAAATACTTCCGCACATGACTCCATTTACGCTCAGCCATTGCTGTGAGTGCGCACGCCAAAGTGCTGCGACACATTTATACAGCTGTATTTTGCACATGACTATGAAAGGCGGAAGAGGAAGTAGTTCCTTCCAATGTAGACAATCTGAATGATATAGTTTCTTTCCACTGTGTTCCTGTTAATGATAAACTACAAATTTACCCTAAATTACTTAAATGTCGATATTTTAATGTGAGAATCGATTCTAGAACATAAATAACTGGTATTGGAGGAGTCGATATTTCAATATCGATCCGCACATCACTACCGGTATGCCTGATGGCCAGTCCAGCTATGTTAACCTGCAACCAAATCTGCAGCTCCATACAGCAATGTTACGACTTGGATTGTATCTTATAACTTATAACTCTTATGCTCAGGAAAAAAAATAAAGTACCGAAATGTGCGCTGCTTTTCGGTCTGGTTACTGTCTGGTTACTACCGTTTATGCCAGAACTGGTGCCATAATGGCACCGGATACCGGTACCCATCCCTAAACTGGAGGTTGAGATTAAAGCTTTCAGTTATAACCAGTTTTAATCATTTGTGCCCATACATATTCAGAATACTTGTGTGTATAATTACTGTTGATATTGCAAGGATCCGAGATGGGTGGGGTTTGCTTTTCCTGTTTTCTTTAGGTGGGTGAGTGGGTGTGGCCGCAGTTCTCGGGGTGTTCAGCTTGTGGTGTTTGGCATCGTCAAGCTGGTGATGAACAGCGGTGTGCCAGCTGTGCTTCAGCTCTGTGGTAATGGGCTCATTCTGGGAATCTCCAGCTGTAATCTTCGTCTTCTCCTCATCCCTCTGCAGAGCTACTCCTACTAAGATCGCTCGTCTGTTTACTCCGTTTGCCCCCTGGAGAACAGCGTTAGGCACGGATTCCTCACTTCGGACCTTCACGCCGGTGCTTCACCTGCTTACCTGGATTTCTCCTCATCACCTTCCTGCACCTTTCCCAAACGTCCAGCCGCCTGCTCCCATTAATCTAACGTTACTGTGTGTGCGCTTATCACTGGTCTTTGTCCTCTTCCTTTCTCCTCAGGTCCTTCCCGTTCCACCTGCTCACCAAGTGTTTCCATTTTTCTTCTTTAATTCACCATAAATCAACTTTTTCACGTGTTTGTACGACTGAGTTGGTTTGCCCCTTTGAATCCACTCTTAGTGAAACATGACAGATATAATTTCATTCATGTTATTAAATATATAATATAAAAGCACAAAACCTTAGAATAATTCAAGTTAGTAAAGAAGCTCTTTGATGGTTTGTAAGTACTTTGAGACTTTAACGATGTTGTAATCTTTGACTTTCTTTATCAGAGGATATTAACAGGAAGGACAGATAAGTGACTATTTTCCTGCTTCGGTCAGAGCATCATGTGATGCCATGCCCGTAGCAGCTTTGCAACCAAGCAGGCTGGCCTTAGGACGCTTTCTTAAAGAGCATGTTCTCCTTCTGAACTTCCTTCTTTTTAACAGCAGTCAGGCTACATGGTTCACTGTAACTGTGCTAAAACCCCCTCATTTCGTTGTGAAATCACTCGTTCACTTGGTAAGGAAACATTTCACTGTTACTCTCTAAAACTAATAATTATTTATTCTTTAACTTAAATGAAAGACGCATTAAGTAATTTTAAATGTAATATGTATTAAATTTTACTTAGTTGTGTTGTTGTTTTAAATGAACTGTGTGATTATAGATTCAGAGAGATCACTGCTAAGAAAAAAAAATGTTGTTAAATAGGGGAAGTTCTCTGTGAAACAACTTTGTCGGGGCTGTTTTAAAACTTCATGTGTGGAATGATTAGATAAACAGATGTCTTTGTGTTTGTGTGTTAAAATGCAGGGAAGGAGTTTGTGAACATGGTGACAGTCGGCATGTTATCGGTTCTCCTCTTTGTTTCAGGTGAGCCGTTTGTTCACTTATATTGAAATCATTTAAAATGTGAATTTTATTTGGAAGAAAAAGTGACCCTGCAGCTACTTTTTCCAACTGTTATTGTCCTAACTTGAAATTGAAATTCATTAATTGGTAATTTCTCTTTGGTTTGTTTACAAAACAAGAATTTAAATGATTACAGAAGAAGAAGTGGCTGAAGCTACAGCTTGTAACACCTACAGCTTAAGAAAAAAGAAAAAAAGTATATTAAATCAACTACACTTTTAATGTCTAATTTAAAAACTGAATCATGACAAAAGAAAAAGAAATAATCAGTAACCCTTTATGTCTAATTCACCTCTAGATGAGCTCTGTTAAAACCTGTGATTGTGTAATAAACACACAGATACAAAAATCAATGTAATTGAATCATTTAATCAAAGATTATGTTTTAAATCTTGGTGGGACTACAGTACAGTATTAATGTGTGAATAACTTAATCCATAAAATGTATTTACAGGTGCTTTGGCAGACTGTACAAAACAAGCAGCACTCTCCATAACTGCATCAAAGAAGCTGGAAGCACTGAGTGGATCTTGTTTGCAAATCCCATGTAGCTTCAGACCCAAAGACGAAC